ACCCCCCGACCGCTATTACGCCGGCCATTTCGTCGGGTCGGGCACGAACTCCGACCCCACGATATACGAGTTCATCGTCGGCAAGGAGGACGACCCGGCGCGAACTACGTTCCATCCCGAACATGTACGCCAGATGGCCGCAACGGCCATCGTGGCCGCTCTGTCGCGAGCGGCCGCCAGGTCGCCAACAACCACCTCCAACGACGGACACGAGGAGGAGGGCGAACACTGATTATGTATTGTGTATTGTATATTGTAGATTGTGTATCGGACGATTAGGTCCCTTCAGGACAAGGGTATAAACCGTCGGGTATCGATGCGTTATTGTGTTATATGTTAGGAATTGTGTATTAATCCAGTTTATTGTATTATTGTAGTTGGCATGCCACGCCGTCGACCCCCCCCCCATGGACAGCCAGTCGGAGACTGGCAGATCGATGTTCACTCTAGTGACCACTTTGGTGACCACTTTAGTGAACATCGTTTTAGTGGGGGGGGGGAAGTGTAACGACCCTGTTACAAGGCTTCCCCCATCCCCGACGCGACGCGATCGCCTAGCGACGCGAAGCGGAGGTATTGATTGAACAGCGTTGCCCCTGGCAACCAGAGGCAATCAATACAGCCGCACGTGGCCGCAGTTATGGCTGCCGCAGTTAAGATGGCTGCCGAGTGTCGCGATAATGGGGTGCTAGCTAATTGAGGGATTAACACTACAGACGTGAGGTGACTGCAATATATTTGGCATAGCGCTATAGCATTGACCATATTATGACGATAATGCGAGCTAACACTAAATATTCAGCCATGCATGTAATATAGTCCAAGTGGCTTAGTTGCCGCTAATCAGGCGTGAATTCCATCAACGCCAAAAGTGGCGGCCATGTTAAGCGCACGTGACGCGTTCCTGCGGATAGGCGGAGCCACCTCTGGCGCGATGGCAAGGCAGAATAGCGGGTCGCTCCGTTAGGGGCCGCCACCGTCCAGAGCAAAGGTGGTGAAGCCAAGCGAAGCCAACGAACGCGGATGAGACGGACGCGGTGATTGGCGCACGCGGCACGTGGCTGAGCATGCACGCGCGCCATGGCGAGCCTATATGAACTGCTGCACGAGCAGAAATCGAGGAATTCGCTCCTAACTCTAGACACGCGACCGCCTGTGTATCAGTAAACTGTAATAGCAACCCGAATTAAACAACTAGTCATGGTATATATTCTCTGAGACTGACTTGTCTTTGTCTATGTCTTTTGGCTACACATACGACATAATATTCCACAACTGTATAGTAACGTAAACTTCTTCGTTACACAACCTTTATTTCTGATTTTCCTTATTTTCCCCTACTTGCGCAACAACACTTGGTATACTTACACGTCTGAGAGAGAAAGTGCGCATTGCCACATTGTATGATCTGGAATCCTCTCCACATACTACAGCGACCATGACCCTGTATACCTTGAGATTCAGAAGTAAACAATGTATGTTGTAACAACTCAACAGCTTTATTATCCCTGTTTCTCTGTGTGCTAATATAATTGTGTGCTATACCTTCCATACATTGCCATTATGTTGCCGTGTAGCACAGTATTATACAGTAAGATTTTTTTTATAGTGTGTTTTCACCACTGACCTTGACCGTCGACATAGATTTCCTCTTCAGCCTCCTAGGGTAACCAGATTCGACATACTTGCACATCTGAGGCATATCAGTTGTGTAACAAACCTTTGTCTTTGTGACTTATTTAACTTTACCTACCTTCTACGTCCTTACAGAGATATTTCATTCATACTAGATCACGGGGGATACACGTATAGTTGGCGACAACTGCCCTTTCTAGTTATGTATTGTAATAACATTAACCTTTTATAATAGATTTTATCAAGAATTGGTATTGTACCTAGCTCAACTCTTAGAGCGATTAGTGGCGTTTTACTATGTGCACCTAGTATTCTCCTTAACATTTATTTTGAAAGCCTTCAAATAATTGTATTTCCTTTTTTGTTAGGTTTGTCCAAGTTTCATTATTATTTAATATAGATGGGAGTATCGTGCACTCATATAATTTCACTCTAGTTTCTAGTGTGAAATTGCCCAATTGGTTTGGTTTAGTCATTGTTAGGACCTCCCCCCACCATATATCTGCCTCTGTCTATTCTCTCCTTTATCATATCTATGTAGTAACGGTTGTTATTAAAAATGTTATTATTTATATTTAGTACAATGTTTGATCTCTGTTCTACCTAAATAAATTTTTTCTTTCGATTTTTATTGCTGGACATTCGACCAGAGATATACAAGATGTACTTCGCCTTCGGCATATTACGTGTATAAGTATTGTAAGTAAGTGCATATATGCAAGTGTATATGTAAGTAATGCAAGTAAGTATATATATATATAAGTTCCCAATATAAAGATAGAAGTAGACGTGTACATACCTTACGTGTCCCTTCTTTGAGAAATGGCATGGATGAACTGGGGAAAGTCTAGATGCAATAATGTAGTATACCACAAGAGCAGCGTTCTTTACCTTAAGGAATTACCTACTCTTGTTCTGGGTTACATTGTTGTACTTATAGGAAAAGTCCAGCATATATTTTTCACTATGTAGACTAATTGTTTTGACTTATTTGAACTTGCAAAGGAAGTGCAATATGCACTCATATCTGGGATAGAATAGAGTCCAGACGGAAAGACCGCGGAACGAATATTGAATATGAGCAAAAGCTAACGAGTGAACTCAGCACAGCACAAGAAATAATTAAATGCATGTTGAGCACGTTGTAAGACTAGGCACGGCAGCAAAAACGGGAAAGTGCCAACCAAGCAATCACGTACACTATGTAGTATCATTGTTATATCGTTTAGGTTGAAAATACGCTGTAACGAACAAGAATACGTCTATTCACTGTTAAAACTAACGTTGTTTCAACGTTGAATGATATGTATATATATATGTATATATATATG